GCGTGACGCCAAAGCCAATATTGGTGATGTATTCCAAAAGGTGAGTTGAGTTGTGGAGTTTTTTTTCTAAAGTTAAGTGCTTGTAGTAAATTAAAAATTAAAATTATTGATAAGAAATTTAAAATTGTTCTTAATTCTTTGGAAATGGTAATAAAAAAATATTCTTGTCATTACTTAAAAGNGTCATGTTGTTTTTGTTGTAACAGCATACAAATTCCCCAAAGAGATTTTGGGGAGTGTTGCTGGAGTGACAGTCCTTAGCCAGATATAAATCTGGGTCGTTCCGGTGACGTAGACCCGACTGTCGTGGGAACGGTTTTGTCATTTCAATGCCTAGTAGAAATTCGGCATAAGGGGTAACAAACACCCCTGTAGAGAGTTAAAAAAAATCGATATTTTTTAATAGTTAAAAATATTTTTGAACCTTCTAGAATATGAGCAGTGTACTTTTATACATGAAATAAAAATGTTTTCCTTGAAAATTTTGGTTTTTTTAATCGAAAAAAATATTTTTTATACTGCAGTATTTATTCAAAAACGCACCCAAATTTTTTTCACCTGTTCCATGTATTCCATGTAAAGAATTAAAGAAAACACGCTTTTAATTGAGTGGTTACAGTGCTGCTACTCCTCAATTAGCTGATTTCTTTAACTCGAAAAATAGGGAAACTCAAAACTATTTTTTTTTAAGAACAATTTACAGATCAGTCAAAGTTTCTCGATATGCGATGATTTTTCAGGGAATTTCGCCTGGAACATATTCGTATGAAAACTATATAATTTTGGCACCGACCCTGAAACCGGTTTAACTACAAACAAAATTTGATAGGGAATGATGGAAATTCGTTTCAAAACACTTCACATTCGGGTACATCAACTTAACTTGTTTAAAAGAATTCCCTTGAGCACGGAAAAAATAATATATTATTAAAAAAAAATCCCTAGACATTTTTTTCCTTAAAATATGTATACATAAATACATAAATATAAATATCGTCTTGAATTGTTCATTATTATTGATTTTTAAATACCGAAAATTTCGAAGGATTTGCGATAAAACTAAACAAATATTTTTTTTTTTTGTAACATGAAGGGGTTGTTACGGTCTCCTCAAAAACAATTTATTTTATTTTTCGTAGTTCTTGAATTTTTTAATGAAAATCGTGAAAAAATAAATTGTGAACAAATTATTTTCTTTTCAGATTTCAAGAATTACAAAAAATAAAATAATTTTTAAACTTCAAATATTTTGAAAAAAAAACGATTTTAGTTTCAAGCAGGTGATCATTTCACGAACTCTCCTTCGTGTTTCACAGCGATGAGTTTAAAATACAAAGAAAATTTTGAATTAACGCATCTAATAGTTGACAACAGCAATAAAAGAAAAGTAAAAAAAAAAACGATCAAAATGCACTACAACAACAACAACAACCGCTATTTAAAGACATTTCGTTACACAATGTTAATGCCATGTTTTATAAATGAAATTTAATTACCTTTTCGCTGAGGTTCATTAGAAATTAAAATGTTTGGCATTTTCTATTAGATAGTTGCGTGCATTAAATTCTACAACCAATCCTATACTCGACACATTTTTTTGTGCTTTCAGGTTGACGTAAACGGTCCTACCGCCGCTCCACTTTATCAATATTTGAAGCACAAGCAATCGGGCACTTTGGGCAGTGCCATCAAATGGAATTTTACCAAATTTCTTGTGAACAAAGAAGGCATACCTGTTGACCGTTATGCTCCCACAACTGATCCCATGGACATTGCGAAAGATATTGAAAAGTTGCTTTAAGCTATTCACTAGCGTATCGAAGTTACGATAATGATTAAAAATCATATAAATTTATATGTCTAATTACATATATTTGAATACATCATAATAATGATACATCTACATACATATATTCATATACTCCTATAATGCATATTTACTATTGGCTACGGACTCTTTGGATACAGTTTTTCATAATGACTATGCGGATGGAAATGGTCTTAATCATGCACAGCGTCATTTGATATTGATTGTTATTTCTATTCTACGATTATTGTCTTTATACATATTTATGTATGTATGTACATACATATGCAATTCCAAAAAGTTTGTAATTCACTTTTGTTTTCGTTAAGCTTTAAATACAAATATACTTAAAAATACCTACAAAAAATTTAAGTTTGTACTTCATTGTAGGTTAGTTCGGTCACGTAGTGGCTTGCTCTATTTTAAATGCAAAACGCATTTACTAGGTAACGGTATTGTAATGGATGTCTTTCGAGGTGTATAAGCGTGTGTGCACAAACTATATAAAAAAATGCATCACGTACACACTTAACTATGCATGCAAATTCACATGCACGGATATATGCACACCTAAGGCGATGAACATTAACCTTTCGCATCAACGGATGGTAATTTATTGTGGGCAAAAGATACATATTATACATACATATGTACGCAAATTTTTTTTTTTAATTTTTTTATTATATTTTTTAGTATTTTTTGTTTGCATAATTGGCGAACCAATAAATTTAAATGCGAGAATAAAAATAACAAAAATAAATGGACATAAAAAGTGTGGACAATGCCATAAAAGGTATATCTGTATGTATGTTTACGCATATGGACACCACTTGTAGTAATTACTTTCCTATTATAAAAGGTTCGATTTGATTGAAAGGAGGCAGCGACTGAGAACGATCTATTGCAACAAATTTTTATTTGGTTACAGATCTTTGATTCACGCATCATAAAGGAACCACGCGATATCTTATGACAGGATGTTATTTAGGTCATGTGCTTCTAAGTACGATGATCCTAGGAAGCGAAGTCTGAGTTTAGCAATGTTTTTGTAGTGGCACTTAGTGCAGTGGTATTGCTGTTCCTCGTGACATAAACTGAACTGGTCAGAGTAAAAAACTCGAAGGTTTGACAAGTGTTTCATTATCCTGCAGTGGCCAGTGGATAGGTAGATATTCAGTTGACTGCGACTAGGAGTTCTATTGTAGCGTCTAGATCCCCACAGCACCTCGATTAGTCCTAGCGCACTTAGGAAATCCAGTAGGCTGTTTGGTGACATCGAGTGCATATGATTCGGCTGCGAGTTTAGTGACCCGAAGTATTATTTCTCTCGGAGTATGTGCTCAACTGTTTCAGCTACCCTGTCACAGAAGCGGCATGAATCATTAGACCAAATCCTGAGGTTGGGTAGGTGATTTCTTAATCTGCAATGACCTGTTAAGCAACCTATTAGATCTTATCAGACAATTGCAGTACAACTGCAGTACCCCGTTAGATTGTATGCAGCTATTAGGCGTGCTCTAGTACCCACAGCACCTGGATGTTATTGTATTTAGCAAGGACACTGAGGTTCTCAATACACTAGGTTCTCAAGGATTAGCGATGATTTAATCTTAAAGGATAATATTGCATTGAGTGCCGCCTGATTATCACAAAGAATAAGGATTCTGTCATTACGGTAATTTACCCGAAGGCCTGCATGCGCATCTGTACAATGAGAACCTGTAGTCAGAATGGACAGGCGAGAATTTTCGCTATCGACTTTCAACTCGAATTAAACAAGAAACTCTTCGTCAACCGAATATACAGAAATTAGCAGGGGGAATCCATCTTCCAATTTCTTCGTGGCGCCACGGAAGAGTTGCATTGGCTCTACCACCCACGCAAGAGCAACTGGTACACACAGCGAGCCAAAGCTGAGCAATACCGGCATAAGTGGAGTAAGGAGAGACGTTATTACAAAGGAAAACGAAGAGGGAGAAAGACGTGAGTGTGAAGAGCTTAAGACGCTGGCAGTAAAAAATGGGGCTCGAAAATTCACATTCAGGTCCCTCCATTGGACCGAAATGAGACATAAAGAGCAACAATGAGGTTTAAGAATAATAAGGCCGTTAGAGCTTGGAAAATACCAGCTTAGCAGTTCAAAGCTGACGGCGAAAATCCGTATAAAAGTATTCTTAACATTGAAGTACTAGTTGGTGAAGCGGTTTATGA